ATAAACAAACGAATAATCGATAAATAAATAAATAAATAAATAAAGTTTACAATACTCAATCAAAAAAGATTTACAACCTGGGGATTTTAAGTCATTCGAGATTTTTTATGAAAATAAAGTAATGGGTGAATGAAGGGTGAAGAGGCTGGGCAGGTCAAAGAGTGGATAAAGCTGGAGGAAAACGATTGAGACGGATACCGCTTCATCGGTATGCTGGGGCATCGGGTCCGAACCCGAAAAGGCCCACTCACCTGCTCTGATCTGACCTGCTTCGCGTAATTTTGGTAGATCAGCCGAATCGCTTACGTGGCCATAGCAAAGTAGAAGGAAACGCAAACAGGCATGTAGTCACAATCTCCTACAGACGCTAACAGATACATGAGCGCCCAAACGAAACGTACTCATGCGTGTTGCCGATCCGGCAAGTCGAGTGATCAAAATGTCATTCTGGATCAGAGCGATTTCCCCGGCTCAACCAATAGGCGAGCAGGTGGTAGCATCGAGTCCAAAGCATAAGGCCGGACTGTTGCCACCCCAGCTCAGGTGACAGTCGAGCAACTATGCCAGGCCCCACATCTCAACGTAGAAATGGAGATAATGATGCAATGGCAACCAAAAGTTTCTACATAAATTGGGCTAAATCTGTCCCAGAGCGTTAACTTCCGGTGCAATTTGGTAGTCTGAACGATCGGTCAATGGTAAGGGGAGGATAAAGTTTGTAGATTTTTCAGAAAGGGCATATGAATGCGTATGCATTTTCCCCGAATTTTCAATGGCAAATGCTCAAGGAAGGGTAAAAAATAGTGTAGAATTATTCGACAGGACAGACCAGAAGATAACTAAAATGAGATGAAAAGATTTCGACTATGCAGCGCAAAAAAGTATGCAAACATCTCCAATCCATGCATGCATATGGTGAAAGGCTGAGGAACCAGTCAAGTGTGAAACTTAATCGGTATCTGCATTTTGCCGGTTCATCAACCCACTCAGACCCATTCAGCCTAAAATTGCGCACCCATACAAACACGTCTACATACAGATGAATGTCGAATTTCTCTGGAGCACTGTGTTGGCCCATTCATGTAATCCATTTGGGTCAAATGAGCCCAGGACAAGACAATCTTGTCCAAAGGACACTGGAAACTGGGCCATCCTGTGGGCACCACAACAAGATGGTGACCATACAGAGAAGTGATTCGTCGTGGTCTCACAAGTGACAGTAATAATGGTTATTTGAGCATAGGCCAGGACTGGTGGGAGCTTTAATGCTTGGCGAAAGGCCCAAATAGAAGAAATTAAATAACCTTATGTGGAGGCAGCAGTGGCTTCTTTTCACTGCCCAAATAACCTCGTAAGTGGGGCTAGAAATTGTGTAAAAATTGGCTAGAATGGGAACGATGGAAGGGAACTTTTAGCAGGAAAACTGTGTGCCAGATATACATCATACTACTTTTAGCAGTAACAGTAGCAACAATAGAATACGAAAGTTCTCTCAGCTGAAAAATAGTTATTTACACTTTAGTGAAAGGAGGTTGCGGTGAGAAAGCACTTTCGTATCCGATAGCCTAGAGGAAAGTGGCATGCGAGTTGTGTGAGAATATGAGACTGGTTGATAATTGTAATGCAAACACGAGGCGGCTGAGTTGATTTGATCTACGGGACAGAATTAAAATTCACAACAACCCTGGCTCTAAAAAAGGAATGAAATGCATTGCGCATTACAGATTGTTTGCGCTTGGATACAAGAGCTGTATTTCATTTGAAAAGCGAAGCATGCTCTCTTCGACCAAGTAAAAAGTAATCAGATTTCGATAGGCTAAAAGAGTGCAGCGAAGCAGGAATCGTGCAGATTGAAAGAGTCTGTGATACAAATGGAAATAAGCAAAAGCGTTTGGATTAGGGTAAAATCGTCTATTACAATGGTCCCTGGAGTGAAGGAGAGGATCAGGTCAAGACAGGCGAGGAGGGGGCTCATCCGGTGGGGCGAGGAAATAGCGAAGGGCGGCAAACTTTTTCTCATAATAATACACTAATATATTATTTTAGGAGTTGAGACAACCTGAAATTTATGTGTTTGTATATTTGGTAACTTGGTTAGGCCTCCAAATCACTCCTGCAATTTCGCTATCACGTGTTGCAGGTCATAGTTACAATCGTGTCCCAAATCAGGTGCAAATTGAGGATTCTGTTGGGTACACTGTACAGTGTAATCGAAACAAAAACATCCGTTAAGGGTTTCATTCTCATCCTAGTTGAATAGGAAATCTCATCTTGCAGGTTATTAAGACTTTGCATTGGCTTTCTTTCAAAAGAACCAATCAGTTCTTCATAAGCTAAGAAAGAAATGTATTGAGACTAAAAAATCTTGGCTAACACAATTCAAATTGGAATAGCTTTAATATTGAAAAGGAACTAATGGAAAGTGATCAAATACCTCACAACATTGGCGATCATAAATGCAATATATGCAGGAGGGAATGTAAATGTTTTTCGGTAAATTTTTGTACTACTATAATGATTTTAAGTAACTGATTAATTTGCCTTTATTTTTAGGCAAAACATTTCGGATTTACATTATCTCCACAAAATACTTGAATAAAGCTAGTTCTTTAGAATCCCGATCGCAAAAGAAAGCCTAAAAAGCTAAATAGATATCAATAAACTCTCTTTTTTTGCGTTAAAATGCCCAAAAATCATATTCTATTGGCCTGTGTAGCCATCCTTTCAGATAAGCTCTTCAAACTGTTTTGTACAAAAGGATGTGCCCAACAGGAACTTGTTTTATCGTCAATACAGGTTCGTTATGATAAGAAGCAAAACCCTATAACTTGTCCCTACTTTGGCCGCAAATAAACGCCCTAAAGTAGCTGCATGCCAACATAGGTTAGGTGCATATATATATTAATATACACGTGCGAATACTTGTGTGTGTTTGCTTAGAATGAACCTCAAGAAGTACTCCTTTTGCGAGAAATGCATAGACCCACATCAGTAATGATATCTCTTGTAAAACTAGGTGGCGAGTATATGTTCATTTGGTCTCATAGACCCCGAATGTCGGGCAGACATTGCGGAGTTTCACAAATGTGGGAATTGGGAAGACGATTAGACGAATAAACAGGGAGAAAAATAGAGATTTTCGCAGAAGGTTAAAAATGAAAAAAACCTCTAGGTGATGCGGGCACTCGTTAGGGGCGGCGGCAATATTATCATGAAGGGGCGGTGTGGACCGGAATATTCCGACGTCAAAGTAGGATATATGTATATACATAACAACAGGTACATATATACATATATATATATATATATACATATATATATATATATACATATATATATATATATATATACCTATATAAAAAGGGAAACTTATACATTTTTGGCCTGCTTACAATAGAAGTGGAAAAAAGAACTAGGCCCATGAAGAACATTAGATTTCTAAGGGACTCTTTCACACAGGACGGTAAAGTACCAGCAACCATTTGACAACGAACCCAGTGTTTTGGACAAGCCGGTTACTCTCACTTTTTTGGCGGGAACCAGAGGCGTCTCTTTGTCGCCAGCAGATGGCCTTCCATCTTTGAATAAAGGAAATTTCAGGTGGATGCGGGAATATGGGAAGACATGACGAGCAGACAAGGCTGGTATGTTGAAGAAGAATGGGTGGAGTTGACATGTGAACTCCGGTGAACGTACAGAACTCATGTATGAAATAGGGGCGTTTTGAGTATGATGTGACGGGGGGTTTGAGATGAAGGTCGCGAGATGTGAATCAGAATTCGAGAGAAGCGACGGAAGCAGAAAGATTGCTGGGAAAAGGGCTGAGCAGAGGAGAGTAAAAAACGACAATTTGGATGATCATTTTGCTGAGGCAAAGCTCTCTCATACGCTCAATTGCTCAGTTCAACACTCCATCTCTGCATCAAGACGGCCAAAACTGCTTGTCAACCACCCAAATCCTCGCATAAATAGTTGCCATAGGAGAAGTCCAATCCCCTCGCCGTCCTAGCAAGGGGTAGGTCCGTTGTCGGCTGCATCACTATACGGTGCTGGAACCGCGGTTGACTGTCTCTAGGAGCCGATTGACGTCCTCCTCGGTCCCAGTAATCTTGGCCTGTCGATAGTTCTTCCAGAGGGTGGCAGTCACATCCAAAGCAATCAGGTCACTGGCGATCTTGGATACGACGTGCAAGATGAAGACACCGTCGGGCCCGAGGGTGTTGTTGGCAAAACGGGTACAGTCGCGTTCCTCGGTGCTCGAGATAAGTCGAAGCGCTTTTAGGTACTGCTTGATGTAGTAGACTCGGCGTAAAGGAAGTACCGTGTTTACAGCCCAATTGATCGTGTTCAGGGTGGTTAGTGCTCCCAAAATCACGAACCAAAACCACAGGAAGACGTAGATTTTCTCCACAAAGTGATTGATCGGCAGAACACACTGCAGCGTATAGCTGTCAGGTTGAATAGTTAAAAGCATGGGAAAAGAAGAGAACAATAAATGGCACGAAAAAAAGAAATAAAAATGATAATAATTTTTTAAGTGTAGGAAATCTGAAGTAATCTGAGTTTTAATCGACAAGGAGCACGAATATCAGGTCAAAATTAGATGTTTAGGAGGAAGGATAAAAAGAAAAACTTTGAAGTGAGGCTGTATTCGTAATAAGTAGGCTTCTAGACTAGTAATATATACTGAATAATAATGGCAATCATACTTGGTCGTATGAACTGGAGGACTCATTAATGCTGGAGGTGTTGACGAGACCCAGACGAGGCCGAAACCTGATTCCATAGTGAACTATACAATCTCTTGGGCCGTAAGGCGAATTGAACTCCAACTATGTGATTGTTGGAAAATTCAACTAACAGTTCAT